TAAATAATTTGTTCATCTATTTAAGTTATATTACATCAAAAAGTAGTATGTCCTTGTGGATCTGTTGTCAAGTTCTTTCATGTTTGTTGCTTTCATAGGCGTTTTCTCAAGTTTTCTTGGAAAATGTTGGCTTTTGAATTTTTTGCCTTATTCTTTTGCTATATCATTCACTGAGTCTTCTCTATTTCTTTATACTCTGTTGAAAATACATTCTTTGTTGCTTAAAGAGAATCTTCCAGTTAACACTAGAATAGAACAGCTTTGGTGAAAGGTAACACTGTATATTTTGACAGCTATGAATTGCTTGTAATAGCATTTAGTTTATTTATTGCTTTAGCAGCCAGTGTTGTGATCTGTGCCTTTGTCATGAAGGCAAAGGATCATATTCAGTTGTAAACACTCCTCTGTATAAGATTTCTCTGGTGGTTATGTTAGATAACATGGAAATCCCTACCCCTCCAAAATCTGCAGACTTCAGAGCATACCTTTCTCCAAAGGGAAACCCTGCTGTTGAACAGTGAACATGCTGGTTAAAAGAATGCTGGTCCCTGTGGCTCAGCACAACAGGTGTCTGCCTCACAGGAAGTACTTGCCTTTTAGGGCATCTTTCAACATGCCATTGTTAAAATCCTGTTTCTTCAAGTTTTACAATTCATATATGTTGTAATTTGAACAACTCAGCCTTGATGCTTATTAGGTCATCTATTATCTGTATTTTATACATTCATTCCTTAGGACTTCTATTATATATAATTTATATATTACGTAACATATAACATGTAATACATGAATAATAGTAGACCTTGTGTCTTCAGGGAAAAGAGTATCTTCTTTTACTCAAAGGCTGGGAGAATGTTACATCCATTATTACATAGTTTACCATTCTCAAAAGAATGGGGCTTCTGTATTTAAAAATATCTTTACATTTTGTTTTATTCTTTGTTAGAGATAGATTCTCACTCTGTCACCCAGGCTGGAGTGCAGTGGCATGATCATAGCTCACTGGAGCCTTGAGCTCCTGGGCTCAAGTGATTCTCCCATCTCAGTCTCCCAAGTAGCCAGGATGACCTGTGTGTGCCACCACACTCAGCTAATTTTTACATTTTTTGTAGAGTCATCTCCCTGTGTTGCCCACACTGGTCTCAAACTCCTGGCCTCAAGCAGGCCTCCTGTGTCGACTTCCCAAAGTGCTGGGATTACAGGCGTGAGCCACCGTGCACAGCCTTGTATTTTAATGTTTTATTCTTTAAGTCACAGAAAAGTATGTGTGGTATTGACTGTTTACATTTCCGACCATATGAAAACTGTCTATTCAATCTTACGGGGTGGTTAGAGGGGCCTTTTTTCACTCGCTCTTGTTCAGATGTTTTGGCATGAGGATAAAATCTGCCGTTAATGTGTGTGCAGTTCTTAGTGACCCAATTTTACTCTGAAATTAAAGACAGGCCTGTGTTCAAGGTGGCGTCGTATGGTTGTTACAGTTATACTTTTAGGATTTCACTTAAAGGAGACCTTTTCTTTTAATTTGATTATTGGTTGTTGTTTTTTTTTCGTATTTGGCAGTATCACTTTGATGGAGATGCTGTTCTTCAGAATGAGGAAATATTAAGTGCTGTCTTTGTCTTAGCTTTCTAGGACTTCACATATTTTGAAATCCATGAGTATCATTGAATAGATGTACTTGTGTGGTAGCTCACTATGATGGTTTTATTAGGGTTGATTACAATGCAGTGTACCATCAGCCTTGTCACTTTTTTTGTAAGACTAAACAGAACTCTAATAACTTGTCAAATTTTGAATACAAGTAATAAGAAAAAATTACCCTTTTAAAAATTAAATATTGGGCCGGGCGTGGTGACTCACACCTATAATCCCAGCACTTTGGGAGGCTGAGGCTGGTGGATCACCTGAGGTCAGGAGTTCCAGACCAGCCTAGCCAACATGGTGAAACCCCATCTCTACTAAAAATACAAAAATTAGCCGAGCGTAGTAGCATGCACCTATAGTCCCAGCTACGTGGGCAGCTGAGGCAGGAGGATCATTTGAACCCGGGAGGTGAAAGTTGCAGTGAGCTGAGAACACCGCACTGTACTCCAGCCTGGGTGACAGAGTGAGACTCCATTTCAATAAATAAATCAATAAAAATTTAAAAATTGGCCGGGCATGGTGGCTCACGCCTGTAATCCCAGCACTTTGGGAGGCCGAGGCAGGCGGATCACAAGGTCAGGAGATCGAGACCATCCTGGCTAACATGGTGAAACCCCATCTCTACTAAAAATACAAAAAAACTAGCCGGGCGTGGTGGCGGCGCCTGTAGTCCCAGCTACTCGGGAGGCTGAGGCAAGAGAATGGCGGGAACCCGGGAGGCGGAGTTTGCCGTAAGCAGAGATCGTGCCACTGCACTCCAGCCTGGGCGATGGAGCGAGACTCCGTCTCAAAAAAAAAAAAAAAAGGAAAAGGAAAAATTTAAAAAATTGAAATTAAATATTGACAATTAAAACTTGGCTAAATTCTGGCCGGGCGTGGTGGCTCATGCCTGTAATCCCAGCTCTTTGGGAGGCTGAGGCGGGCGGATCACGAAGGTCAGGAGATCGAGACCATCCTGGTTAACACGGTGAAACCCCGTCTCCACTAAAAATACAAAAAATTAGCCGGGCATGGTGGCACCTGTGGTCCCAGCTCCTCAGGAGGCTGAGGCAGGAGAATGGCCTGAACCCGGGAGGCGGAGCTTGCAGTGAGCCGAGCTCGCGCCACTGCACTCCAGCCTGGGCGATAGAGCAAGACTCTGTCTCATTAAAAAAAAAAAAAAAAAAACTTGGCTAAATTCTGGAAATTACTTTTCTAGGTTTTAGTAATGGTTTATAAATTGAGTGTTCACATATTTGAGAAGCTGAGAATGCTTGAAGTTTTGAGTAATCCTGATGTTACTGAGAAGGATTAAGTGATCCTGTTGTCCGGTTTGGTTTATGGTTCTGTTTATTTTTCTTCTCAGCCTTTACTGTACCAAAGGCATAAACAGTTGTTCCTCCATTTCCTAGGAGGTTGCTTCTGCCCCCCTGAATATCAAAATCTGCAGATCCTGAAGTTTCTGACATAAAATACTGTAGTATTTCACATATCCTGTGCACATCCTCCTATATGCTTTAAATTACATGTTACTTATAATACCCCATACAGCGTCAATGCCATGCAGTTATATTGTTTAGGGAATAACGACAAGGAACAAAGTCTATACATGTTCAGTATAGACACAACCACTGGAGGCCTAACTACATTTTCTTTCTCTCTCTCTCTCTCTCTCTCTCCCCTTTTTTTTTTTTTTTTTTTTTTTTTTCGAGAAAGGGTCTTGCTCTGTAGCCCACGCTGGAGTGCAGTGGTGTGGTCTCAGCTCACTTCAACCTCCACATCGTGGGCTCAAACGATCCTCCTGCTTCAGCTGCCAATTATGTGGGACAACAGGCATGTACCACCACGTGTGGCCAATTTTTGTATTTTTTGTAGAGACGGGACTTTGCCATGTTGTCCAGGCTGTTCTCAAATTCCTGGACTCAAGTGATCTGCCCATCTCAGCCTCCCAAAGTGCTGGGATTACAGGCCTGAGCCACCGTGCCTGGCTTCTAACTGCATTTTCAATCCACGGTTGAGTACAAGAATACAGAGTCTATAAATTCAGAGCTTGCATACAAGAGTAGATAGTATGCCAAGTGCTGGTGGAAATATATAAAAAATAATTTTTTGTTCATATATGCCATACCTTGTTTTAAAAAATTCTTACAGGCCAGGCATGTTGGCTCACACCTGTATTCCTAGCACTTTGGAAAGCCAAGGCTGGAGGATTGCCTGCGCTTAGGAGTTCCATATGAGCCTGGACAACATGGTAGAATCACATCTCTACAAAAAAATACAACTACTAGCTGGGTGTGGTGTTGTGCACCTGTAGTCTCAGCTACCTGGGAGGCTGAGGCAGGAGGATTGCTTGAGCCTGGGAAGATGAGGCTGCAGCGAGCCATGTTCATGCCACTGGTACTCTAGCCTGGGTGACAAAGCAAGACCCTCTCTCAAAACAAAAACAAAAACTCCAAAGATTTGATTACAGGGACCCCATGGGTCCTCTTGGGTTCCTGGAGTGCACTGGGGTGTCTGTGGGTCCCCTTTACTTGCAGGCACAGTTTTGACAGTTTCTGCATACGCGTTTCACATACACTTTTTGCGGGGACAGTTTCGGGCTTCATCCAATTCTCAGGCAAATTGAGACCCAAGTGGGTTTTAACAACACTGATCTAGGGTAATGATTTACAATATTTTTGGATCATGGACCCCCAACAGTTGAAAATTGAGCACACAGCTGTATGTTTGTGTGTCCCAAAATGCAATTGTGTGTGACTGTATGAATAGTTCAGGCATATTATAAAACATATATAAGGATAACAGTACACATAAACCTGTCCTCTATTGAAATATTTTGGGTACACGCTCTTTGAAGAACGTTGATCAAGGTCTTACTAGGGTAAGAGTCTTTTTCTGATTGAGCACGACACACACATTTGTATTCCCTAGAATACCCTAGAGTGAGGGTCCTCTGTGGGATTTTGCATTACAAGGTTTCAAGCTGTGTTGTGCTGAAGTATCAACAATCTGTACAAGAGGGCTTGTGGAAATAAGGAAGGACTTAGCAAAATAAATTCTTAATAAATTATTAGCAGATCTGAAAACTATTTGGTTAAAAAAATTATTTGGTATTTGGGACTTAATACTGTTTACTGTAGAAGATAAAATGAAGCTGAATTTTAAGTCAGTTGATGTTCTTTGAGGAAATGGAAAGTACTTTGAATTTAAAAAAATCCTTACTGAATGGAAATAATCAGAGCACGCAGCACTAAATGGCATCGAAATCTCAATTACTGTTACAAACTTTATGAAATGAGTTAACTCTGATTTCTCTCATTGTTTATTGAAATCAGTTTTTAAAAAGGCTAAATCTGATTTCATTGTATTTCTAGGGTGATAAAAGAAAACGTGGCTGAAGTTACATGAAGTGCAGCTAGCAGTGTAATTCAGGAGTTAAGACCAGAAGTACTGGAATCCTACCTCCTTTCAGGTCAGTCCGTATCTGCTCATTGTTTCCTAACAGAGCCTCGAGTATTCATTTCTTCCTGTTTTTTTCTAGTCAGTTCTTCCTGATTCTGTGGACTGTAATGAACATAAGTCATGGTCCCAGTGTTTTGAGTCAGTAGAATATTTATGAACAGTTAATAGCTGAAGCTGAATCCTCTCCAGCGTGGCCTGTCTTGGTAGGAAACCCTGGCATCACAGCTGGTTTCTCAGCAAGTCGAGAGGGGACTTGAAGCTTTGCCTTGCCCTCCTCTTTCCTTACTGGTGTAATGCGTATATTGATTTGTCTTCAGGTAAAACTGGACTAAGAGGGGAAATGACATATCACAGATGTCTTGGAGTGAGGAGAGAGAAAAAAAAGGTCTTTGTAAAAAAATTTCCTATTGATTTTTAATGACCTCCAAATTTAGAATTTTAAACTTGTGTTCCTTTGGAAAGTATGTAATCTTAAAAATGGCATCAGAAAATCAGATGCATTCCTCCTCCTCTGCTTTCTACTTTTTCGGAGAAGGGTCACAATTTTTCTGTTCTTTTGTTACGTCACACATAAAATATTATTGAAACATTAATGCAGTCTTTATAACAAAATTCCCATGGGTACATTGTCATTCTAATAGATCCAGAAAGTATTAAGTGTATTTCTTTTCTAGCTTTTGTCTGGTGATACTAAACATTATTCTGTCTTATTCTTGCTGCTGCTACAAGTGGTTCTGGGGACAGGAGTGACTGTTGCCTGAGAGCTTCTTGGAAATGAAGGATCTCCCACACAGGACACAGACTCCTGCAAGTCGAAAAGTCCGTTTTAACTGTGAAGATTAGGTCATGTGTACTAATGAAGATGTTTCTTTTCTAGGATTTGCGCGCACTTGGTTTGAGATGATGTATTCCATAGTTTTGAGAAATTTTACCTTTTCAAAGTATCTGACACCTCATGCAGCACAAAAATGTGACAGCTGTTTGCATACTATACCCAGCTCTAGAAAGTTAATCTCAGGCTTTGGTTCTCAAGCCTGGGCCCTAGACCAGCAGCATCGTCATCTGGGAGCCTCAGAATGTACATTCTGAATCACACCCTCAGCCTATGCAACAGAAATTTTGAGGATGGAAACTAGAGAATAATTTTATATCGTCTATGGAGATTTTATTGAAATTAAACTTTCAAGTTGCTGTATATGTAGGTCTCTGAAAATCCAAAGAACCAATCTCATATATGGGTAAGGAAATACATGGGAAAGGAAAAATGTGTACATAAGCTATCTGTGGCATAGATCAAGCCTGTGGCATTCTGTGGCCTTGAGAGAGAAGGGGAGAGAGATTTTAAGCTTATCAAGTAGATTTGTCATTGGAACTTTAGGATTTTTAAATTTTGGTTAAAAAATGTGAATACTGTTACTTCAATTAAAGAACTCCTTTTATAGATTTTACTTTCTAACAAAGTGAGTGAAAAGAAACCGGTTCACTCCAGAAACATGTAAAGAAAGTAAAATTATTAAAATGCCAAATATTTAATTCTTGTGACAGTGAATCTACTTTTATTATAAAGAGTTAAGAAATTGCCATTTCCATGACAGTTTCCTCCTTCAACAATCTTAATATTGAACCTTGAATTTATTTAGGTCTGCCGGTCAGTGATTCTAGTCTAGCAAATTACTTTAGGACTGAAAGCTCTTGTTTCTTTAGAAAAATATACTATGGAGATTAGATCCTGTTTACTATTGAAGACTCTGTCTCTTTTCCAGGTCAAAACATTTTGTGGGAAATATCCTGTTCGTGACCTGGAAGAAACAAGACAGAAAACAAATCTTACCTCACTTACGAATTTCTTACTCCATACAAGCAGTTCATGGATGTCTGGGCAATCATAGCACTTTCCATTTAAAAACATGCTACAGGGGCACATTTTCTGTGGTTAAAAATGATCTCTGGAATAATTGTAAACTGCAGTTTTCCTTTTTATCGAGGGTTTTGGCTTTTTATTTGTAAATTAAATCAAGATGTTACCAACTCCTTGGTGTGGTGGTCTTGCCAGCTCACGCTGGGGCTCATGCTGGAAGGTAGTATGGCAGCAATGCTCAAATTCAGAATAGCCAGCAAATCCCTCCTTTCAGTGCTCTGACTGGGAACCATTAGAGGGTTTTTAAAAACCATCCCTCATAGCCCACAATTTTGGGTTAACTCTCAAAGTTGGGAATAAGCAAACTGGCATTGTTGGGAGAAAAATCGTTTTTACTGAAGCATGAACTGGCTCAGGCAAGCAAATAGCGGGAGTTGGCACAGGAAGGCGAGCGTGCTGTGGGGATGCGTGGAGGCGTCACCTTCAAAACTAAAGTGGTGCCAGGAGGACCGATGCGTCCTTGATCTTGTTCCCATTTGACTGAATTGTGAACCACTTCACTGTCTTCACAGTCTTGCCACTTACCTAATGAGGCTTTTCTGAACCTAGAAGGAGACGTCTAGAAATCCCAGCTTTGCTATGTAAGGACCATTAGCTGCAAGTCGGTGGAAGTCTATAGAAAGCAGTGTGAATTCCATAGTGGTCTTGACTTAGCAAGGATTTGGGACAAGTCTAAAACTTCAGACTTAAAGCTTTGACATGTTAACTGCATAAAATATTGAACATTTTGAACTTCTTTAGCCTTTGTCAGTTCGCGACCCAGGTTTTTCACTCTGTTGTATGTTTCCTGCTTTTCCTTGTTTTGCTAATCATCCTCCTTGAGCTTTTCCACTGTTTTTATTCTGGGCATCCAATCCAGCCTTTCACGGTGTGTGCTTCCTCAGGCCCCTGGTTCACATGCCGAGTGCCCTGTAAGCCTCGCCGCACTAGTGTATGCTCACCAACAGTCTGCTTCGTTTGGGAGGGTGCTTCACTTCCAAAGCTACCCAGTACGACGTGTACAGTGCAGCACAAAGCAGAACTCAGGAAGTAGCACCTGAGCTTCAAATAGACTTTCCTGATCATTCTACTGAGTAAGAGTCTCCACATTTAAGAATCAAGATAGGATTGACTTGTGAGGATAGTGTATTTTTGGACTGAAACCAAACTCCTCATGTCTAATTGTAGTTATTCAATGTTACCAGAATCCCTATTTTTGGCAGAACAGACAAAAGAATGTGTAGTGTACTTTCTACTACAGCCATTACAGCAAACTAGATCTGAGTGCTGTTGCTAGTAAATAGCCAGATTATGTTGTCCTTACCCAAGTAGACAGTGGAAAGGAACAATGGCAGAGGACATGATGCGAGTCTGGCCACAGCCGTGCATCCCATGTATGGCGATCTCAGTGCTGAGATCACCTGTCCTCGGCCGTGAACTGAATCATGTCCTAGTGCTGTATCCGACTTCATAGCTTTCCAGGGGAAAAGACTAGGAGATCTGTGACATGACTAGGTCACATAAGCTGTGCTGCACACACTTTACCCTACACGAAGTTGCCCTGGGCCTTGACCTATAGTTCTAAACGTCATCTATAAACCTTTTGGTAAGGTGCTGCCTGAGAACTGCTTTGTTTTTCAGAGGGATCATTGCTCAGGCTTTTTTCCCCAATAACTTGAACTATTTGGCAATTCCTGTTTGGTTTGTATCTTAGACAGCCCTGCCTTCCTGATGAACAGTCGGTCACCTTCTCACGTGTTCCTGACACTGTTCACATCTGTAGCTGGAGTCCTGTTGTCTCCTTTACTGCTCCTGACCTGCACTGCGAACTCAGATCTCCCTGTTCCCCCGGAAAGCTATGAAATCAGATATACTGTATGATTCAATTTAGTTGAAAAAGTCCAATCTCGGCCCTCACTTAGCTAGAAAACCACAAATATCTACTGTCTTTTAAAGTTTTGAGACTTGAGACATAAAAGGAAACAGACCAACATCATAGAGTTTTATTGACAAAACCATAGGAAAATGCAGTTTTAGGAGGTAAAGTAAAAATGGTTCTCTGAAATATCTACACAAACGTGAATGCTGAAAAGTTTTCATTAAAATCGTATTTCATACAATTATAAACTAATGAGGAACAAAACAATTGTCACCTTCTCCATAACCCAGCCTGAGCTCGACTGATGCTTGCCTTGAGCAGCAGAACTCTTCCCAGACAAGACGGCGGCTCCCACACAGCAGACAGGCTTCGCTGTTACCTAAGCTCCATCTTCCCAGTTGGTGTTCAAAACTAGGGCACAAGATCTGGCTTTTCAAAAAAAACGTAGAGACTCCCAAGAAACTTTTTTTTTTTTTTTTTTTTGAGACAAGGTCTCATTCTGTCACCCAGGCTGGAATGCAGTGGCCTTTGATGGCTCCCTGCAGCCTTGACCTCCCCGGCTTAAGCAATCCTTTCACCTCAGTCTCCGAGTATCTGGGACCACAGGCGTGTTCCACCCCATGTTACCCAGGCTGGTCTCGAACTCCTGGGCCTAAGCAATCCTCCAGCCTCAGCCTCCAAAGCACTGGGATTATAGGTGTGAGCCTGTAATATTCTTTAGGCCTCATAGTGTACAAGTGACTACAGCACATTTACAAGTGACTGCCATCTCCAGAATGTGTGGCCACTGTCTACTAGAAAAAGATCAGGCCCCCCAACCCTTTCAGGCGCAGCAAACCCACACTTTATTTGGTGCTTGGGTAACTTGAATATAACACGGCTCCCCTTGCTGTAAGCAAATGCTTTAGAGCTGAACTTCTTCTTTTTCTTTTTTTTTAAAGCACAGAAGTTCACCAGGGCTAGTAGAAATTTCAAGGAGAATCACTTGAACCCAGGAGGCGGAGGTTGCAGTGAGCTGAGATCGTGCCATTGCACTCCAGCCTGGGCAACAAGAGCAAAACTCCGTCTCCAGAAAAAAGAAAGTAAGTCTTTAATTTTCTTAAATAATCCTCATATGTACTATCCACATTGTGGAAAAACTGAAATACGCAGTCTGGACACTGCACTGAGATTCCAGCATACTGGCACAGACACAGCTATGTCGCGTCTTACAGACTACAACAGACAACAGGCTTAACTGCAAGAGGTTTACAGACAAAACTTGACATAGATGTGCTAGGAGAATTCCAAACTGCTGTCAGAGAGAGTGTAGGAATGGGTCTGAAGAGAACTCCACCCAATCCCTGCTGTTCGGTCACTGCAGCTGCACTCTGTATGCACCTATTAGCAACTTAACCTGTTGAAAGAAAAGAATGCAGCTGTCAGTACAGACCCAGATTTCCCCTTTCTTACAAGAAAAAAACCACACATGGCCAAGATCTACTTCTATTATTTGGCAGTATTTTCAAGTTGCTTATCAATTTACATTGTTAGATCATTGCCATTTTAATTCAAGAAATAATTCCAAGTGCTATCAATTTTATATTACTGTTTTATTAGAGAGACTATTTTGTCCAGCTTCCTTTCATACAAGAGGTTAGGGACCGGCCTAAAGACATATATTTGGCAATTCCATACCAAGGCCTAGAACATGATTCAGATGGTTCCCTCCTCTAGAGAGGCGTTCTTCTCAGCTGCAACCAAGTCCTTTTCCTGCCGCATTATTATGTCTAACACACTAGATTGAGAGAGGGTGCACCTAGCATCACTACCCTAGGGAGTGCGTCTCTCTAGGACAGGTACACCAGGATTCTTGGAATTTTTTTCTAATGCTGATAAAGTAATCTGGAGTAACAACTTGAGTACTGACACTACATATGAAGAAAGGATTGTCACCTTGGCAGAGGGTGCTTCTGTCAACCTTATGAAGAGTTTATTGGGACCTGCAATAGGGCTGAATGAGTAAACAAAATGACTGTCCTACAATGGAAAGAGAAAAAAAAATCAGTGCTTTTTCAAACTTACACCAGAAACTATTAAAACAGCAATGATGTAAAAGAATCATAAATAAGTTTTGTTTTTTATTTCATAAGTCAAGATGCTGTGGAGGAGGCCAATCGCTTGAGCCCATAAGTTTGAGACTAGCCTGACCAACACGGTGAAACCCCATCTCTACAAAAAATACAAAAAATTAGCCAGACGTGGTGGCACGTGCATCTGTAGTCCCAGGTAGTTAGGAGGCTGAGGCGGGAGGATTGCTTGTGCCTGGGAAGTCAAGGCCCCAGTGAGCTGTGATCCGCGCCACTGCACTCCAGCCTGGTCAACAGAGTGAGACCCTGTCTCAAAAAAAAAGGTGACTTACTTTTCCCTTGATTTATTAAAAATATACAAATGACAAAATCAGTCCAGGAAACTGGATTAGAATGCACCCAGCAATATACAGTACAAGTGTTAAAATGGCTACATCTAGGGAATTTTGCTTAATTCAGTCCAAGGAAAGAATTCTAAAAGTGGCAAAGTATATACAAAGAATCTTTGAGATCATTAAGAATTTACATTCAGGGCCGGGTGCGGTGGCTCAAGCCTGTAATCCCAGCACTTTGGGAGGCCGAGACGGGCGGATCACGAGGTCAGGAGATCGAAACCATCCTGGTTAACACGGTGAAACCCCGTCTCTATTAAGAAATATAAAAAACTAGCCGGGCGAGGTGGCGGGCGCCTGTAGTCCCAGCTACTCGGGAGGCTGAGGCCGGAGAATGGCGTGAACCCGGGAGGCGGAGCTTGCAGTGAGCTGAGATCCGGCCACTGCACTCCAGCCTGGGCGACAGAGCGAGACTCCCGTCTCAAAAAAAAAAAAAAAAGAATTTACATTCAGAACAATGCTAGCCCTAAGACAGTATGGTAAGCACAATTTAAGGCAAAAAAACAAACAGGAAAAATTCCTACTGACAAAATTTAGGATAATTACGGATATTGCCTCATTCCCAACCACTATTATTGGATTATTTTCTGAATGATTATATTAAGACACAGGAATTTAAAATGAAGTCACCTATGCTTTTGATTAGAAGAATTTACTTTTCAATAGTGAAATACAGAGTATCTTACCAGAAAAACAGGAAGTTGAAATTTATCATTCAGAACTACAGCTTGTACACTACATGGTCCACAGAGCCGAGCAATAACTTCTTTACCCAAAAAGTTTGCATGGAAG